TTTAACATTGCTTAGTTTTCCATTGTGTTTATGTACTATAGTTTATCTCTTCATTCATTAGCATTTCAGATTGTTTCTACCTTTCTTGCTAACTCAATTATGACTCATAACATTTCTATGAACCACAGATCGGGAACTTGCCCAATCCTATGCCCTCATCGCCATGCCTACCATGCCCAAGCCCAGTGGTGCAGTCATTGTGTCACTCACTGCTTCTGTTCAGGGTCACTCTCTCTTTCTCGGACTCTCTACCTTTCCCCATGTATGTCTTTTTCCAAACACTGACCTTCTCCTGACAACATAGGTGAGATAGAGTTTCACCATCTTTAGCGCTAAGGAGCACCTTGGTTGTCCTTCACTGAAAATGTATTTGTTGGTTCTCGGCTCTCTGCAATACATTCTGTACTCTGACAGCACAATTCCAAGGTATCAGTTCTTCACTCTTCACTTTTCATTGCCCAACTTCCCAATGCATGAGAAGCTATGAATATTCCATGGCTTGGGTTGGGCACACCTTAGTCTTTAAACTCACTTTGTTGCTCTTTGGCACTTTGGAAACATCCTTGACAGGAAATAGTTCCACTGCAGTACATCTTCTGATATCTTGACTGCTGTCACTATGGGTGTCAATTATGCATCAAAGTAAAATGAAATCATTGAAAACTTCAATCTTTTCTCTATCATGATGCTTCTTATCAGTTCCTTAATGAGAATTTTTGTTTCCGTGAGATTGAGATGTAATTCATATTGAAGGCTATATTCTTCCAAATTTTTTTTAAGTAAGTGTTTCAAATCCTATCTTTTGGCAAGGAAGGTTGTGTCATATGCATAAGGAAAAGCTGTTGATGAGTCTTCCTCCAGTCCTGATGCCATTGTTCATACAGTCCAGCTTCTCAGATGATTTGTTCAGAATACAAACTGCGTAAGTATGAACAAAGAATTCGTCAGAGGCAACAAGCATAGATGTGTGTGTGTGTGTGTGTGTGTGTGTGTGTGTGTGTGTGT